ATTGTTTCATCATTATGTATTGATTTGGTATCGGTATTGCTTTTTATATTGTTGTTAGAGTTGCAGTTGATAGTGTTATCATGAACATTATTATTCCTTTTATCACAATCATCATTAACATTTACATTCTTTAACACTTATCATGAATAAAAACAGCAATAAATCCAATCAAATTTCTTGGAAAACCTCAGAGCAGTGAAAATTTACATATTGATAAACATTTTTAAAAATGTTGGCCTACATCAAGCTACTACTCCAGTTGTCTGCGATTCGTTTGCTAAGAATAATTTGAATCATTTCCCCTCAAAGGAAAGATGCTCTTGTATTGCTTCCCGAATAAACCGACCGACGAAGGGCATGTGCAGACTACTGACAGTGGTACTGCATTGTTTTATAGTCTCTGACACTTGGTTTCAATATCATTCTTAGAAAGTTTTAAACAATAATGGACACTCTTCTCAGGATTTGGGCAGGAAGTCATTTTAAGGAATTAAATGAGCTTCTATGGAACCACTTTATACTTTTCATCCTCATTTGAATCACTTCTGCATTTGGCACAGAATACATTTTTTGGTTGTATTTATTTTTTGTCTATGTTTACATGCTGGTTACTCTGAGTAAGAGACTGAGCGACATTGTGATGGCCTCACTATTAGCTTTTAACTTGTTAGAGCTTCATAAGCCAGAATAGAAACAGTTTAAAATCTCACCAACCAATAACAAATGTTGGGACAGTATATTTTGGTTTTCTGTAAACAAAATTCTTTACACTCATCTATATAATTTCTTGATTCATTCCTGTTTGAGCCCCACTGTCTCTAAATATATCTAATTTCATATATGAAAGTTTTTTTCTCTTTAATAAGCAGGAACATACTCCGACCTGAAGATGGCCTAGCTAATAAACGATTAATATGCAATGCATTTTAATGTTTTAGTACTTGGTAATATCATAGCTGGCATATGAGGATGAATATCACTTAATGTTAGGAAATATTATTATCAGAATATACATTAATACGATTTGTAAAAAATTATTGTATTTTTCCTCATTACTATCATCTTCCTCATCATTATTATCATCATCATCATTGTAATTACTAGTATAATTACAATCATTATTATTATAATTGCTATTCAATATACAATAAATTAAATACATTATTGTCAAAATAATATAAAAATTGGAAATTTCTTATTCACAAGCAATTGAAAAATATATAAAAATCACATAACTATATAATTTACAAACTAATGAAGACAAATTAAGACCATAAGATCAAATGCAGCACGTACTTATCACCTAATTAAAAGTAAAGTAGGGCGAAATATAAGTTCAACATTTATGATCTAAAATAGATAACCCCACAGAGACAGACAAATGCATTATTCATGTATAAAATATGTAGAAAGATGGTCAAATTTAAAAGTTTCGCAGAGTAAAACCTGATTACAAACCCCTAGTAAACCTAAACTAAAGTAAATATAATTAAAATTCTATAAAATATAAAAGATATAATACAACAAATAACATATGAAAATATAATTTAATATTATTTTATATATATATTATTATTATATTACATATACTTATATATAATTTGATACTATGATACACATAAAATTTTAAGGAATCAGGAGAATACATCAGATTTTTTTTTAAAGTGAGTATTTTTAATCTGTCAAGTTTTTAAAAGGATCATATCTGACCCTATATAAGACTACTGTACCATGTTTACAACTTATAATATAAACATCTTCTTTTGATGAGTGTCGCATGATTATCTTAAAACAATACCAAAACTGTCTTGTCACTATATTGCACAATCCGTCACTTCATTTTCGCCGGATTCCCACGACCAAGGGAAGTTTCAGTATTTTCATTGAACTTTGCAAGGGATCTTCTTCGAAATTTTGATACTGATGAAATATTTTATACCATGAGGGATCATATTTTCTACAAATTGTATTGACATGAAGGAAATGATTTAGAAAGAATTACTGATTATGATGTTGTTTAACAAGGATGTTTTATGACCTACCATTGTATTTTCATTTTCAACTGGCTCGTATTAAATATATTCATCCCAAGCCTATTACATGAAATCAGCATGTACATCTTAGCCCAATTTTGACCGACCTCTGCAATTTATTTTGTGAGTGTCATGTTTTAAGACAGTCCCTTTCATTTATTGCACATTACTGACTTGTTTTGTCATTAACCATTTAATTATTAAAACTGGTTTGCTCTATTCTATAAAAAAAACATTTTTTAATTATTAAAATTAATTAGGAAGGTAGGTTGTGTCAGTTGTTGGGTGTTCATTTTCCAGTCCCAGTCCCAAAATCCTGGGTTGAATTCTTCCAAGAACATTTAATGACTCTATGTTAACATTTATTTCCAATAGACCAAACTGAATGAAGTTCCCATTTACAAAACATAAAAGAACTAAATTTACTAAACATTTTTAGAATACTTAAAAGCATATAAATTCATAATCTGTTTTATTCTTCGTAAGTCCACTAGCAAATAAATTTTGTTAAATACTTCAAAATTTACTAAAAATAATTTAATTTCAGTCTTGTAAGAATTATGGAATAGTAAGTACTAACAGTGCACTCCTCTACATGTGACTGCAACCATCCCTCCCACTCTAGATGCCTTCCAACGGGATACTGCACCCAATTACTTCCTTTCCAAATTTCTAATTGCTGTTGAATGCCAGTTAGATCACTATATCTGTTCACCATTTTCTCATTCAGTAGATTCCAAACTGTATTTGAATGAACTTTAGTTTCTAATACTCTTAGTAATTTATGTCTTTTTCTTCCATAAGTTTGCTTTTTTACAGCACTTTTTTTACGGTATAATGTTATATTATTTCATCCTTCAGTATTATAACATCCTTGGATAAAAGAGGCTATATACATTCTATATTATTTTATTATATAATAACAAAATAATATATTTAATGAAGAACATAATCCTGTGGGCCTTCTAAACTATTGTGTAAAGTTGTTTTATTATTGTACATTCCACAAATGTCACAATTAAATATACATTTACATATCACTTTTTCATTATATATGAAAAGGGGTATCCCACCACAAGCATTGCTCTACATGTGGGACCCTTAAAAGCTAAAGTAAACAAAAAAAAGCAAAACAAAGAAAACAAAACAATGATAAATGAGTTGGTCTATCTATTGTTTAAAATATTGTTTTTAATTGAGAATTTAAAAAAATTGAAATAAATAGAATCATTTTAAATAAATATAATGATAGTAATAACAATAATATAAAATTTATAATTTTCAGTAATTTTTATTTTAGCATATATTCATTATAAACTTTAAATCATAGTCAACTTTCATATCATATTTGTAATGCTTTCCCATGGATGTTGGATGAACTACCTTATAATATTAAAGATTCGCTTTAATATTATCATATCCCATTTTTTTCACTTATGTACAACTTGTTGATTTATCACATATAGTTTGCAATTGTCTTGGAATGTGAATTTGAACTCTTGTATATACTTTCTGTACTTTTGATTCATTTATATTTTTTATCTACTTTTAAAGGTTGGCTTTTAGGGGGTTGGAGAATCACTAGACAGTTGATTTAATACAACTTTGTGATCATACTGTCTACCACTTAATAGTTCATTTTTATATGTATCTTTCTTTGTTGTGTTCCAGAGATGAAATAAATGAAATGAAATCTAGCTTAATTGTTATCTTCACTTCTTACATTCCTGTATTGTATGTAGTGAAGATCCCAATTTATCAGCTGGCTATGGCTGGATGGACCACCCTCACAAAAAATTGATAAAATAAACAAATAAACAATAATAGTTCAAATGGAGCTTTAATCTTGTTGATCTTATCTCTGTTATTGTCAAGTTTTAAATATGCAAGGGACCCAGTATCAAATTGACCTGAAAACAAGCGTTCTAATGAAGTTTTATAGGCTATGACAGATACATCTGCACTGGATACATAAAAGCATTAAAATTTTATTTAGTTTTTGACTACCATCATATTTTGTTTTCTGTTATCTTATTGATATCAAAGGGTAGATGTGTGCATAGCTATCTTTTAAAAAGAAGGACAAAGACTGTTATCTAACATTGAATTTTAAGAATGGTATAATTCTTTTATTTATTATTTATTTATTCAACTTTCTTTATACTGGATGGTTTTTTTTTTAATGTGGTCCAGGTATAACACAAAAATACAAAAGTGATGAATTGAAAAAGAAAAATTATGGTAAATTTAACAAAAAGTAACGTCAAAAATAGAGGAGCGACCAATGCATTAAGTGAGAGCATTTTAAATTTTAATTTATCAACAAATATATGAAACATACACATAGCAACAAGCTGGTTCTCTCAAATGACAGACAAATTAAACTATAAAACATTTTAAGTAAGAATATACTAAATTTTAAATGTCAATTGAATATTTAATAAACTGATGAGGCAACTGTGTACATAGGCCTGTGACATGCGTAGGCATATATTATTATTATCAAATATGATGAATATTTCCAGAATAATTGTTTTAATAATACTTCATTATAGGTTGATAGATTAAATTCAACAGAATTGGTGTAGGATGGGTGAATTGGTGTGTAGATATATGGATGTCTAACTGGATAAGTGAAAGAATGAGTTAAATCGAGTGAACGGATGGATGGACGGGAAAATAGATAAGTGAATAAAAAAAAAACAATGTGTGAATAAATGATTGTGATAATGGATGGCTAAGTGAATTGGTGATTGAATTGTCATGAAATACAAGAAACTTTAATTGTCACTATAGATTGACAGTTGATGGAGAATGGATGATGATAATAAACTGCTAGCATCATATCAAAACCTACTTGTTGGTACAAGTCAAAATGGCACAAAAATTCTCATTATCATAGTTCAAATGTTAAAACTATCATAACTGTATTTATTATGATCTCATCCCTGTCTCTTTTCGCTTCAGTGATAGCTGTGTCATCGAGTCAATGTCAGTAACATCTGCTAAACATAGGAGCATTGAACATCCAAAATTCATTTATATATTCTCCTGACTCCAGAGCGACTACCGTTGCAGTAAGGAATACGAAAGGTCATCAATTGGTTGTAGGTCAGACAGGACCAGAGTTGTGGGTAAGTTTGATGTATAACTTGACAGCAATAACTTGATTATAGGATTACAATATTTAATATATCAATTGTTTCATTTTCAGTATTTTTTTACCTGGTATATTTTGAGATTTTTTTGCCTTTATTCACTTTGAAAATATTCTCTACTTTATCACCTTTATACTCTTATTTATCAAAAAATAACAGAAGCAATAATTTCACTATTAACTCGCTAATAATCCAGAAGTAGAACATGCAATATCGCCTCGTATATACACATACACATAAAAATCCAAAATACAGCATTTATTTCTATATTTATTTTTTTTGTGCATACCTGTAGTGTTAATGGTTTATATATGCTCTATATACTTTGACAACATCCAGTTTTATATGTTAGAATTCATTTATTTTTTTAAATGGATGAGTTGATGGCGAATACATGGATGGTTGGACCTCTATACATGGACGCCTGTGAATGTATCAATAGACACATATCTATCTTCATTTGAGACAGTCAAGTGAGTTCAGATATTTGTATATTATATTATATTTTTATTTAACAGCAAATAACTTTCCATTATGGCAAACTATGTAACGCTCTATAAACTAAAGTCTCATTATGAGGTTGAGGCAAACAGATAAAAATCTTAGTTCAGGAAGTAATGTTGTTCGATATTCTTATTTTTTTTTTCTATTCTTTACATGATTTTTCTTCTTTTTTTTAAATTTTTTTTTGCTTAGAAATTATGTTGATGGTGGCACTCACTGAAATGATCTTTTGTCTTGTATGCACCTTCCCAAAATCACAAAAACGGGGTTAAAATTTAAGACGTCAGTAACTGAAATTGGAATATAGAGGTGTTTAATTGACCTCATGAAAAAGGTATATTTTTGATACTCACAAACCTTATTAATCAGAGAAAGAGTAAGTAAAAATAAATTCATGACCTGTTTCATTCATGACTATAAAAAAAAACAGAATTCTTTGCATTTATGATGGTGTTCTTTTGCTTCTTTCATTTTGTCAATTTAAAAAGTCATGTTCTAAAAAGCACTAATATTATTAGCTAATTAAATTCTATTTGGGTAAAGCACTAATTGAAAATGTTTATAATTTGCCAGGAGGTGTTTATAGTAGCTTATACAGTAAATCCTATGTATGATAAAATATGTAAAAAAATGTCTTTATATCATTGTATGTTGATTTTTGGATATTGTTATTCTAGGATATGTTTACTTACATGCATAGAGTATATATTACATGTTATCATTTTATTGAAAATTTGCAGCAAACAACAAAATAATTCAATAGCAGTGAGCTATAAAGAGCATTTTACGAGCCTCTGTTCAGCTTTCATTTCCATCTCTTGCACATATTTAAAAAAATCAATCAAAAAGCAATTTTCTAAACATGTCATAAACTTCATATTTTCTAGAACAAAATTCATATGGCAAATAGATGAAATCACACTGATCTTTAAGAGTGGCTTTCAGATATAAAAAAACAACACTGACTTCAGTTAGCTGATTGGTTCTAACACATTAAAATCAAGTTGGACATAAAACTATTAATTAGCCATTTATAATTTGAAATTAAATTGCTCAAATTTAAAATCTACGTGCAAGATTAGAATTCTGAATTTTGAAACTTGGAAACATTTGCGTTAACAAATTTTAGAGTATTTTGTAAGATGAACCAACAAAAACGCAAGTAACCTCCGTTTCATTCACATGGTGGCTTTACTCGTCTTTTTTCCATGGGTGTGAGTGAGTCTTGCTTGTGAATGTTCCCATGTAAATATATAACATCTTTTGAATTCTTCTGGCAAACTATTTTAAATGTTGTCACTTTGTTTGAGGGCATGGTAGAGTCGAAGTTTTTAAAATTGAGACACGAAACAAGATGCATCCATCCACATCTTCCAAATCTAACCATTTTAAAGTTTAAAAAAAAATTCTTTTAGTTATTTTGGTAATTTTTACAGTGACACTGTGAGGGGAGGGGGACAAGGAATTACCTCATTGTGCATATTCACAGTGGGAGGGGGATGGTGAGAATTAATGCACAGTGGATATTTTAGAAAATGGGTTGTTATATTTGGTTAACCATGTGAAATGTAAATAATACCTACTACTGAACATCTATCATTGCTTAGCCGTATATTTACAGGTTTAATATGTATGTAAATCAAGCATTACGCATCCCACACTGCTGATGTTGTTTTTTATCAACATCCTCGTGAAGAGTTTTGAAGCTGGTGAATGTTGAATTTTCAAGCCTCACTTGTTTCCACTGTGTTTGTGAGCAGTATGCTTATATTAGATTTTGATCGATGCCTAGTTACTATTATTACTGCAATTATGAACCAAATGACATTATTCTATTCTTCTGTCTGCTTTATTGTGTAAACCCTCCAGTAGCGATCATTTTCATTACACTGTTGTTTTCTTTTATTCTGTGCGCAGGAATTTAAAGAGGCTCTACCAATCAAATCTCAATCAAGAGGTTGGACACAATTATAGGATGGAGCGTGTTACACGCTGATCAATATATCCAACTTCACCAGTGATGGGCCTTGCGTGTCACGGGAAATTTCCCTCGAGGCTAAAGAATTAGCTCCAATTTTGCACAATGGAATATCCCATGATGAATTCACAGAAACAAATTAAAATTGGAAGAAGGTAGATAATCGCAAAAAGATCATCAAATGCTGCATAACCAACAAATATTAAATGATTAATCCCATTTCTAAGCACAATCCAGAGTCCGACGATTTCATCTGTCATGTGCGCCATGATCCAAATCTATTGTTATTTCCAGGATGCGATGTCAGAGCAATAGGCTAAACCGGGATTAGAATACAATAAGGATTAAAGCTTGTCGTAATGTCGTATTAATGGTGCATTAATGCCGCAAGGCAGGCGTTGATGATATGAGGAATAAACTCTGATATTGCTTCGACGAGAACAATGAAGTTGACAGTTGTGATAATGTTGCTTATAAAAATTGAAATATTGAAGATTAATATATGCTTAGATTTTTCTTTTGGAAAGATTCCTAATAAAGAGGAGAGCAGCATCCTGCTAATCTAATAAACTTAAAATAATATAATTTGATTTAAAAAAAGGTAGTAATTTTTATGATAAACAATAACATAGAAAAAATTAAGTATAGAAAATACTACATGTCTTCCATACTCATAAAATCATGATACAACATGTTATTGAAATACTAATGATAAAGCTCTACAAAATATTAGTAATAAAACCAATATTATATAATTGGAAATGATATGATGACAATAATCAAGAATCATCATTTTGTATGAATTTCATAAATACATATAACAAGCCTAATTTAAATGTGTTTTTCAGACGTTAAAAGCATAAGATTACAGAATCTACCACAAAAGTTTGGACAGATGAACTGATTTGCCAAACTGCTGAAGAAACGAAAACTGACAAGAACGAGTTTCTGCAGGATAGATGTCTTGGAAGGTGGTAAGAAATGATTGAGAAACAATGTCGGATGAAGAAAGGATTTATAGCCTTAAGACACAAAGAGAAATCCCCTGCTCTTTTCCGAGTAGTATACTGCGTTCTTTAACGTGCATATGGGCTAAAATGCACACGGGACCAGCAGCTTAAACGTCTCATCCGAAAGACTCTGCGCTATTGTAACTTGTATTTCAGCCCTCCAGCTGAAACACAAGGAGAGGCAGCGATGGGAATTTAACCGGGGACCTAGAGATCTCCACACAGTGGCTACCACCAGATTAGCCGACTGAGCTAAGCTGCTCTCTCAGAGTCTGAGATAGGTAGTAAGTAAAGTCTTAGGCACCTTTCACATTATCGCGACCTAGCAATCATACGTCCTATAATAACCCCCAGCATAAACATATATTGTATAATCCACTGGCATCTTTTTTTTTTTTTTTTTTTGCTCGGGCACCACACATAGGGTGGCCATCTCATCGAGCTTTGCTCTTATTGGTCATTCCCTACCGTTTGCTTTTATTGAATTTATAAAAATGTATCGCGATGGATTTCTTTTCTTTAATCGGTGAATAAATTTGAACTTTGAAAAAAAATAAAAAATAAAAAAAAACATTTACCTTGGCTCATTTAATATGCACAAAAACACCTCGTGTCATTTATTCGTGGAAAGTAATAATGGCCACTTTAGCCAAATGACTACACCCGCCACGTGTGAGAGTGATTATGATCAGTCGACAAAACATTTTTCAACATGTTGAAAACTTCGCGACCATCAACGATCATCTCCACTGTCAAGAGCAAGATGCTTTTAACAGCTCTCACAATATCACGACTTGGCACGACCGTACCGGTCGTGTACCGATCGCAGTATTGGTCATGACAGTTGGAGAGTTTCATTACTCAAGTGGAGATGGATAAGGAGTAGGATCTTATGAGTAAAGAGGGTAAAGAGAGTGGGGGTCTTGTAGAATGGCTAACTGGGTTTTAGAATAGAGATGGATAATGCATATGGTCTGATGTGTACAGATAGGTAGTGATAGGGCCTTGAGGGTATAAGGGGGGGGGGCGGAGGAGAGACATTGGAAGGGGTAAGACCACACTAAATTATTTTGTAAATTACCATACAGATGAAAAGATGAAGTTGGATCTTGGTAATATCTCTGCATTACCGTGGTACAAAGATGAATTTTAATGTATTTGACAATTTTTTCTTGGTTTCCATTCGCCATTGTATCATGTTCTCATTTAAGGAGAACAATAATTGTGAAATTATGAAGCTAAATCAATTACACCTCCGTACATCTTCCTGCAATCCCCATCATCAACATCCTCCTACTTCACCATCATCATCATCATCATTATCTTTAGCCTAATTGCTTTATCTTACTCATCTACTCCATCATGTTAATCAACATCACTAACAATTATTAGATGGGCGATAGATTACTTGTGTGGATGAACATCAAGACAGGATTGAGACTAAACATGTTGTCTCATCGTGTCTTCCGTGCGCTATTCTTCTTCATTTTCTTAAGGTCGTCTAAGATTACCCAATAATTCAATTTGGAATTAAGTAACTTAAGACGAATGTAAGGATGTTGCTGTGTGCAAAAATTATCTACTCATAAATTTTTCAGGTAAAAGTTCAAATCTGTTACCTACCACAATAAAGAATAAATACAAATAAAAATATCATATTCATCAAACATGCTGGTAAATATTTAAAAATATAATTATCAGTGTGTAAACATATATTTAATTTCCTGTATATATAAAAAAGATGTTAAAATATTATTGTCATACTAATCACAGAGAAATGATAGCATTTTGTGTTGTACCATTGTCAGTAGTTTCCAATATGATACTATTTTATCATATGTATACTGTGGTTGAATAATTCAAATGTTTCTATCATATTATATTTATGTATGTAAGAGAACCACTAATCATCAATTTTGATGAATCACCCTCTTAAAATATGATTTAATATTTAACATAACATTAGTTCATAAACTTACATTTGTTTTAACTGTGGACAGACAATACAATATACAATAATATTTATAAGTAAAATATACAGATAGCTGTATCAATGCAACTAATAACAGAAATAGCAAACTAGTAATATATAGGCCTATTTCCACAAACGACAAAGTAAATCAGGTTTTCTGAGATCATCATTTATTGTCAATTAATTCTTTCAAAAATCTTTTACATTTAAAATCTTGATCACTGAAAAAATATGTATCTAGATTTTACCTAGATTAAACCTTTACTTCTGTCTTGAAAAACAAATTTGAATTTTATAAAGCATTATGGGAAATGTATCCATTTAGAGTTCAAAGGTCAACCAATCTCCACATTGAAATGCATGTCATGAACAGAATGAAGTATTACTTTAATGATTTAAATTTGCAAAACGATTTCAAATTTCCTTGCAATCCTGAGCCAACTCCTGCCGTAAGTATTACATTCCGCATCAACTATTTATTCTGATTTCTAGTGTTCACCTTCTAGTCGGCCATTAATTAATAAAAAAATAAAAACGTAGCTAACTGTGTGTTTCGCGATCCAAGACAAATGTTCCGCCACATCTAACCTTCTTTTACTGACCTTAATAAATAGTAGAAAACAGCTTTTTAAAAGGATTTTTATTTGAAGGAAAGAAATTAAAACTTAATATGTATTAGCATCAATCACTTAAAACATATTCAACATTCCTTCTAACCATAGTCAATCTATGTTCTAACTATCAATATTACCATCATTATTTTCTTTATGAACATGGTAACCATGGTAACCTTCTTGAAACAAGTAGGCCTACAATATTTGCCCTCTCTTTCAAATATTATTCTATACTAGCTGGTCTATACTTTCAATATGATAAGCCTACATATGTCTGTAATAAAACTTATAATTATCAATCATAGTCATAATCATTATGAGATTGAAAACATTCTTCTGCATTATAAATATTATAGAATATTTTATTAGTTTTTAAAAACATTTTCTAATTTAAAACATTATGTTGACCCCTCTGCATTCATGTTGAATCTGAGTGACAGTAAAATGCCCACCTTACAATCTTAAAGTTTTAGGTTAAATCATTTAGACACTTCATAATTTCTATCACAACTAAAAGAAAAACAGTAATTATTGTGATTGTAAATCAAACAAATAAATTAAATTAAAAAAAAACAACAATCAAATCCTAAAGTTTTGGGTGAAATCTTTTGATATTTCATGACTTTTATCACAACCAAAGAAAATTCTAATTAAGGCTCATACAGAATATTGCTTAACATCAAATTCCAAATGTAAAGCAATTTTACATGGTATTGTAAGGCAAACAAAAGAATAAAAATTAAATCAATAAACCTAATCATAATTAAATGGATTACATACATTACATTTCATTCCATTTATTTATCAAATGAAATAGAATAAAATACATTTACAAAGGAAGGCAAAATTTAAATAAAATAGAACAAAGATTATGAATTAAGATAAAAAAAATAACCATAAAAACTTAGAAGGATTGAAATAATGCAGAAATGCCATTGGCCAGTTCATCAGATTTGGTTGAGTACACACCAATTAATTTAATTAATGGAATAGTATTAGTTATACAAAATATAATTACATCTACATAAATAATTAAAATAACCAAACAAATAAAATAAATAGGACCATATTTTGAGAAATATTGTATAGGACCTATATATTTTTTACAGTGAAACTTTGATTGGTTTGATTGGTTGTACATGATGTGAACACTGTTTGCAAGTACACATTTAGGAGAGAGAGAAAACAAGAGAAAAAATATGCATACAGGTATAAAATTAGTTATAGTTATTTCATGTAATAGCATCCTAACCCAGGCTGTGTTCTTACAAACATTTTTATCTGTAGTAGTATCAACAAAAAGTCAACTACCAGCAGATATTCCATTTTAAGAATAATATGGTGATATTCTTTATTCTTGCTCACTCACCATGGGCGGCAGAAGTGGCCGGCAGGTCAGACGGCCGCCTAACCAATATTTTGCTGTGTTAAAATACTTTTTATAATAAAAACATTTTTTTAAATAAATTTCTCATACATTTTACTTCAGGGATAAATTATAATAAAATTTAAAAGTGCCATTTCCAGTCATCTAGAGGTGCAGAAATTTTAATTTGTTCTTACCTCAGCCCCAACCATCTATTTAGAATTCTTGGATCCGCCACTGGGTGATACAAAGTTCAGCTATCTGGTAAATAGTGTGTACATAAAGTCTGTCTGTACAGTAAGTCTGAAATCCTTGGTTCAACAATAATATTTTGATTTCTAAAAATCTTATTGCTTGATATGTTCAAACAC